ATATAAAAAATTATGTTAAATAAAATATGAAGAGAAATCATAAACGTTTATAGAGAAAAGCAAAATAAAGAATCAAAATATAGAGTTTTTTGGGGTGTATAAAAAAATTAACTCTCTAAATCTGAAGATACTCTGTAATATAGAAGATATTCTTTATAAATAAAGAGTCTCTTGAAAATACTTTTACATATCTAAACCTTTAATATTAAACTTGAGAGACACATTTCAACTTAAAGAAAGCACGCTATGTTTGAGCCCCATTATTTCAAATTTCATTTTTTCCAAACTTATTTTCAATAATTTATTCCCCACTAAAATAATTTTACACATTAACCCAAAAAAAAAAAAAAAATCTTAATTTTTAACCATACATTTTTCGAAAAGTCGCTATTATAGAATTTATTTTTTCAACAAAATGGGGCTCAAATATTGTCTCAAAAGAGTTTTTGCCCATGAGTTTCTTGAAAATCAAGCAAGAAGAACGAAAGGGAATAACAAAACTTGGAACTTCTAGTTGCAAACTCGAGAATTCACCTTCTCCGTCTTTTTTTTTTTTTTTTTTAAAAAAATTATATTACATTAATATTTTTTTAGTTTAGCATATTATTGAAAAAAAATTGTTTTTTCAAATTTTAAACTATCTTACTTTCAAACAAAAAAAAATTAATTAGTTAAAATTAAACTATCTATTTTATCACCCTAATCCCAAATATCACATTTACTTCATTAACCAATTACCAATTCGATAAGACAATAAACAACCCACAATTCAAGTGATTAAAGTGAAGAGTGAAAAGCTAACCCCAAATCTCTTTTCACTATTTCTCTCTCTCACACCCTTTAACCCATGAAAAACAGTCAAACGAAAAAGAGCAGAAACTCCACTATAAATATTTGTTGCTTGCTCTACAATAGTACAATCTACATAGTAATATCACAATTTTAATGACTGAGCACATTTATTGTTGGGCTTAAAGAACACGAAATGAATAGTGTCCATATCAACAACATTTCTACTTGGATAGATTTACGTGCTAGTAAAAATTTTACAAAATCTTTTACCAAAGCTTTGTTTAATCCGAAAACTATATAATTTGATAAATTTTTCTAATCCAACCAAAGGTTAATGTAAATACCGAATGTTTTATGATAGCTGTTAAGGATAATAACAACGTAGACGGCTTTTTTTTTTTTTTTTTTTTTTAAATTGAAGTTATTAAAAGCTTATTTGCGATCAATATGTTACAAGAACGATTGAATGAGCTAGCTTTGATATTTGTTAAACAAAATTTGCTAGAACATATTGATTACGATTACGGAAGTTTAATTAATTAGTTTACTTTTAGAAATGCGAAGAAATAGTTGATTTGTTGTATTCTAAGGTTTGCACGTGATATTTAATGTTTCAGATTTCAAACTTTGTTTATATGAAATTGCACGAAGAGTATAGTAGCGTGGATGGCTCTTTGTTGATGATATATGAATTTTGATGAAGCTTAAAGAGGATCTTTTGAGCTTTACTTGTACTTTTCTTAATCAAGACATGTAAAAAATAAATAAATGTCATATTTTCGCAATGAAATAATATTATTGAAGAATAATGTAAAACCAGGGATTATCAATAAAATATCGGAGGTGCCGCCCTCCTTTATAAAAAAAAAATTCTAATTAGAGCCAACCAATAACGTAGAAGCAATTATGTTCAATTAGGGTCCGTTTTATTGCAAGGGTGGAAAATTGGTGGAAAGAAAATAAATTCTAAAGAAAAAAATTGTCTAGAAGAATTGTTAATTAAGCGTGTTTGATTGGTATAATTTTTCACTCGGAAAAATTTTAAATTTTGGATCTTTTTGTGTTAGTTTGACTTTATTTTATATGAAAATTGTTCATTAAAGTGATAATTTTTTCCCATAATTGGTTATAAAATTTGTTTCCATTGCCAAAGAGTAAAAAAAAATATTTTCAAGAAAATCATTTTTTCATCAAAGTTTAGTGTTTCTTTGACTTTATTTTACATGAAAATTGTCCATTAAAATGAATTTTTTTTTACAATTTTTTATAAAATTTGTTCCAATTGCTAAAAAAAAAAAGGTGGAATTCCTTCCCACCAAAATAGTGGAAAAACGAATTCAACAAAAACCAAGAAAATGAGGCGCGTGAAGTAGAGAGAAGAAAAATATTTGCCTAGAAAATTGTCAATATCAAACATGACTAAAAGTGGAAGTTGGAATTTGATTTTCATTTTCCATAGAAAATTTGGTGCATCAAAAAGGCCCTAAAAGTATTTTAAGAAAATTCAATCGCAAACAATTTCAGTAACAATGGAATATCTAACCCTGCAAAGTGCTAATTAGTCACCAAAGATATATTTTAAAGTGGAACAAAGCATGAGAAGAATATTCCATGGGCATATTTCAAGAATCATCAGAATAGATTTCTGTTGAATTTTTCACAGAACATTTAGTGCAAATTATTATATGGGTCCCATTTGAGTTTGAGAGCTGTTCTTTGTGGACTATTCTTGAGAGATAAACATACTGGCCTGCTAGTGATAATTAGTTAATGGACTGAAATCCCAAGAAACTAGGAACTGAAATAGAAGCATTTCTTGATTCTTTATAGAATAATGTTGAAGGGTGTACATCTAGCATTTCCCTTCTTTATATTCCCGTGGAGTGTGTTCAATGAAGAACAAGGACCACATTCTTGATTTTACTGTAATTTTTTGATTTTCTTTTTGGCAGGTGTGCTGGTGTAGTGATCAAAGAGTATGCTCGGTATAGTTTTTTAAAACTTATATAAGCTGGTCAATATTATTTTTATATATGCATTTTGTAGAACCCACAACTTTTACATGCATTTTATCCACACATCTGAAAAGACTCGCGGCTTATAATTTACAAAAAGCTTTAATAAAAGTACACAAATAATGCTTGGGGTGAGGGGGTGGGTGGGGGACCTAAAACCTTTCAAGTGTTTTGTCCAGGATCACTACTCTTTGACAGTCAATACTTCACATCACAATGAATAATCATATGCGATAAAAGGATGGGGGTGGAGGTGGGGTCTGTCTTGATGGTCTCATCTGCTAGCCCCTGTGAAAGGTTTTATGGATCTGCAAAATCCTGACCTTATATGGTTAAACAACAAGAAATTGTCAATGTCCCATAAGACCTAATAATTCGGTGCATCAGCCACTTGAATACTTCGAACGGATATAACTTTCCATTCACATATTCTATAGGACCCGCCTATATTGCTCGGACTCGAGTGTTCGTGTCGGATATGAGTACATACTTAGAAATCAGATCCTTCTTATTTTAAAAACTGAGATATGGAGATACAATTAAAAAATATCCGAATTTTGGATACGAGTACGAGGATTCGTCTTACAAAATATATATATATACTAGGTGCAAGCAACGTGCAATGCACGTTTACCTAGTTTATATTTAATAGTTTAGTTTAAGAATTAATTTGTTATTAATAAAGATGTAATTTTTTTGGTTAATGAAATAATTAATGATGTAATGTTTATGTAATTGATAAATAATTAGATGTGTGATTTTGATATTGTGATGTAAGTTAGTGAGATCGAAAAAAAGAAGCAAAAGTTGACAAATTTGGAGAAATGACTAAATTGTAAGGGATCTAAAGTTCGGGGACTAAAATGTAAATACTTAAAAGTTGTGCCGAACCTCACGATGAAGATTTGAGCGTGCTCGGAGTCAATTGGATAAAGGAAGACGTCAATGGAATCAAATTTAGTCAAAAGATGATCACAAATCAATTTCCAACCGAAAAGTTATGCTCCGATATTTTAGTCTCATATTGAGATCTATTTTTGGCATAG